AAACTTGTGCTAACATTTTATGAGTTACAGCAGTTTTTTTTCTTTTTGTGATAAAAGTTTTACATGAATAAATAAAAGCTAATTATTGTAAGTACCCCTTTCAGTGTTAAATAGTATATCTTATGGAAATGATCTGCAAATGCTGTTTGGGAGGTTTCTTTACCCTTTAAAATAAATTATAAGACAGTTCTAAATGTGTTTCTTCTAGCCAGGTGCTTAGCTGAGAAAGTAGAGGGAAACACTGGCTGCAGCTGCTCTCTGTGGCTGCTACCCTGTGGTGCTGAACTGGTTAACAGAAATATCAGCAAGAGGATGGAGCTGCTGAGCAGAAAGAGTTCAATAGACTGAGTTAACCACTTGCCTTCCTGAGGATTTTCCCCCTTTCCTGATCAGGCCTTTTTTTGCTATTCGGCGCTGCACTAATTTAACTGGTAATTGCGCAGTCATGCAATGCTGTACCCAAACAAAATTTACATCCTTTTTTCACACAAATAGAGCTTTCTTTTGGTGGTATTGGATCACCTGTGCGCTTTTTATTTTTTGCACCATAAACAAAAAAATCCTGATGTTTTTTACTTTCGGCTATGAAGAATATATAGTAAACTCAAAGTTAGTCATAAATTTAGGCCAAAATGTATTCTGCTACATGTTTTTGGTAAAAAGAAAAGATCACAATAAGTGTATATTGATTGCTTTGTGCGAAAGTTATAGCATCTACATAGAAACTGCAATTTACGTCATTTTTTGCTATACAGCACTGCGCTAGTTTAACTGACAATTGCGTGGTCATGCAATACTGTACATAAAATAAAATTTATGTCCTTTTTTAACCAAATAGTGATTTCTTTCAGTGGGATTTGATCACCAATGCGCTTTTTATTTTTGCGCTGCATAAATAAAATAAACAAAAAACCCCAAAAAATTTGGGGAAAGAATGATATTTTCTCATTTCTGTAAAAAAAAATCCAAAAAACTCAAATTTTGTCATAAATTTAGGCCGAAATGGATTCTGCTGCATGTTTTTGGTAAAAAAAAAAAATCCCAGTAGGTGTATATTGATTGCTTTGTGTGAAAGTTAAAGAATCTAAAAACTATGGTATAGATAATGGAATTTACACAGCTTTAACTTTCTGACTGCCCATCCCATTTCTTGAGGTGCTAAAATACCAGGACAGTACAAACACCCCCAAATGACCCCTTTTCAGAAAGTAGACACCCTAAGCTATCTGCTGAGAGGCATATTGAGTCCATGGAAGATTTTTTTTTTTACACAGGTTTTTGGAAAATGACACTTTTTTACACAAAGTTTTCACTTAAATGATATATTGCTCACACAAGCCATAGGTATATGTGGAACTACACCCCAAAATACATTCTGCTACTTCTACTGAGTATGGGTATACCACATGTGTGAGACTTTTTGGGAGCCTAGCCACATACAGGTGCCTGAAATCCAATGACCACTTTCAAAGCCTGAAGGTGCATAACTTCCTCATTTCACTTCCTCAATACCTATCATAATTTCAGAGGCCCTGAAATGCCAGGATAGCACCATACCCTCCCAAATGACCCTTTTTGGAAAGTAGACACCCCAAGGAATTTAAAAAGAGGCATGGTGAGTATTTTGCAGATCTCATTTTTTCTCACAAGGTTTTGAAATATAAAAAAAGGTATCATCCTGGTAAAACCACTCAAAGTCCAGTGATGTACCAGTACATCGTTGGTTCTTGTTAGGTATATATGCTATGTTCTTTTTTTATGTAGCCTGTGGGCTGAATGAAAAAAAAAGGAGAAATCTCTGCCGCAAAAAGTGTGTGGTATGCTCACCATTAGAATATACCGCCCTGCATCCACCCACTTCTAATGGTGGGCAAACATGAAATTTGCCAAAAAATATTATAAAAATATATATGCAGAAGCATAGGGGCCATCCACCCACTGGCTACCCCAGCTCACCATGCTTCGGCATATATGCTCTTTTTTTAGCTGCGGATGAAAAATTAATCTAACAGCACTGCACACACCTACTTATGTATATTCTGATAGCAAGACCCTGTTGCTGTCAGAATAAACAAGTCGGTGCTGCAGCTGAATGACATTCCTGCAAAGAAAACAGCAATGGTTGACAATAAAACAGTAACTCAATAAAACAACTTTTTTATTGAAATATCTCTACCAGAAAAAGTGTGTGGTATGCCCACCATTAGAATATACCTCCCTGCATCCACCCACTTCTATTGGTGGGCACACATGAAATGTGCCAAAAAATATTATAAAAATATATATGCTGAAGCATATACCTACTTATGTATATTCTGATAGCAAGTTCCTGTTGCTGTCAGAATAAACAAGTCGGTGCTGCAGCTGAGTGGCATTCCTGCAACAAAAACAGCAATGGTTAACAATAAAACAGTAATAATAAAACAGTAACATTTTAACAGTAGAACAGTAACAACAACAACAAAAAAAAACTATAACTATTTTTGGTTTTTAACATTTTTTATATTTTGGGGGGATTTGTACTTTTTATTTATTTATTTTTTTTACCTTTTTTTATTTTTTAAACTTTAAACTTTTTAAAACAGATTGTAGGGTCTCTCCAAATGCGATAGCCAGTTTCCTGACTACCTAACATCTTTCGAGACCCTGTGTAAATATGTGCCCTGAACTGTGCCATGCTGTACCCTATATTAATACTCCACTAGTGTGTGGTAGCGACAGAAGCAGTCCTTGAGGCAGAGGACAGGATGGCCAGGACAGGAGGGGACAAAAGAAAACAGGTGTCACACCTAATTCCATGTCTGCTACAGGCACAACATCTTTTTTGGAGTGTCCTTTGGGTTGGGGTACCAGGAATGGCATCAGGAAAATGTCTCTCATGCAGCTGGCTAACTGCATCTGTGTTGGGGGTTTGGGCCACAGCATCTTCTGGATACAAAAGGGCCATGATGATCTCTTCCTAGAATTTTTTGAAGGATCCACTTCGTCCAGTTGCTTTGTAAAGCACAAAAGCATTATATAGAGCCAACTGAAATAAATTGACACATTTTTGTACCAGCGTCTGGCTTTTCGGGAAACTAAGTATGGCTTCATCATCTGGTTGTTGAAGTCCACCCCTCCCATGTTAAGGTTATAGTCGTGAACATAGAGGGACTTCTCAACAACACTAGCTGCCGTGGCAGTTTGGATGGTCGTGTCTGCGTGAATGGAAGACAGAACGAAAACATCCCATTTGTCCTTCCACTTCACTGCGAGCAATTGCTAATTTCTCAAGCAGGCTTTTTACTCCTTTCTAAGACAGGTATTTACAAACTGTTGGGGGAAGCCCCGGCGATTAGGTCACACGGTGCCACATGTGCCAATTCCAAGATTGTACAAATGTCTAAATAGTGGCACGCTTGAATAAAAAATTGTCCACGTATAAGTGGTGCTCCCTATGGAAAAAGGATGACACCAAGTCCCAACATATTTTGTCACTGCTCCCCATATAGTCCGGGGGGGCTCCACGTGACTATCTTTTCCCTCGTAAATCTGAAACGTATATGTATAGCCAGTTGCCCTCTCACAGGTTTTATACATCTTGACCCCATATCTGGCACCCTTGCTGGGGAGAAATTGTTTGAATGCAAGGCAGCAAGAAAAACTATGAGGGACTCATCAACGCAGATGTTCTGCTGGGGAGTATAGACATCTGCAAATTTTTGGTTAAGATGATTTATGAGGGGCCAAATTTTGTGGTCAAATTCAGGGTCACCCTGAGGACAACAGAGTGTGTTGTCATTGAAATGCATAAAATGCATTATACTCTCATAACTATGCCTGGACATGACAGCAGAGAACACGGGTATATGATGAATCGGGTCTGTGGACCAATACAACCGCAATTCATTTTTTTTAGTAATGCCCATGTTGAGGGTTAGGCCCAAAAAACTTTCAATTCGGAAACCGCAGTGGGTTTATATGCGAATAGTCTGGCGAGGTTTGATTTTGGGCTGGCAATAAATTGTTGTGCATATAAATTGCTCTGATCCACAATCAATGCATACAGATCTTCTGTAAAAAACAGCTCCAAAAATTCCAGGGGAGCATTTAAATTTGCTGTTTCCACCTGAATTCCGGGTTGGGCAGTGAATGAGAGAAGTACGGGTGCTACAGAATTTGTGGGCTGCAAATCGGGATTTACAAGCTCATCCAGAAGGATACTAGGGGCTCTATGGGCCTGTGTGTGAATTCTTGGTGGCTGCGGGACACTACTTGTGCTCGCCACTGCATTAGCTTGTACTGCACTTATGGGACTTGCCACATCACCAAGTGATACTGCAGTGCTGCTATGTGAAAGACCAGGATATACTAGGCTGCTGGTGCTCGCCAGTTCACCAAAAGGTAGAGCGGCACTAGTACTGGCACTCTGCTGCATTTGAGAGTCATCATGTGTTTGGAACATCTCAGCAACCTGGGAATGGGGTCAGGTACGCCTGATCTTAACAGCGACCTCTTTTACATCGTCTGAGCTATCTGTCAGAGTGCCGCTGCTGTCTACAGGTTCATATTCTGAGGCTGATTGTGTCAGTGAGTCTTTCCCTTCGCTCTCACCTGACATGCTGCTCAGTATCCTGTAGGCCTCTTCACTAGAGTACCTTTCCATTGACATTTTGGCCATTAAATTTCCAGGTACCTAGTGCGACACACGAGAAAAAGAGCACCTGGCTGTCAGGGACTGCTTGAACCACTACAAAAAAATTTACCGGCAAGTGCTAACAGAGATCAGGCCTGATCCTGTACACACTGCGGTTTTGTGTAAGCGTAGGGGCTAAACGCAGGTGTCGGGGCTGTAACGCTGCATTTTTGGGGACACTATACTAATGTGAACGCTGGTATAGTGCTGATCTGATCAAAGATATTGATTTGTTCCGACACTATACTTGCAATGGAGGTTTATTGTGCATGTGAGCGTGTTCCTGGCAATCAAGGAGTTAAATGTGATTACTGGTACTGACGGGCAATCTGATGCTATCTGGGAGGGCTCTAACTGATGCTAACGCTATCAGAAGTTGCCGGTTACACTAACACAGTGATCAGCAAAAAATCTGTACACTGTACTAATGACTCTGGTGACAGGGCAGTGAAGGGGTTAACTGGGGGGGGGGATCAAGAGGTTCTGCGCGTGTCCTAAAGTTTTCCAAACTGTAAAAATGTGCTGCTTTTACTCACTGTGTGTCGATTCTTCGCTCTCTGGAACGGAATGTGCCCAGAGAGAGAAAATGTCATAATTTCCTGTACCTGTGTAACTGTAAACTCAGGTACAGGAAGATCCCTGATAGGACAGGGATTGATCATCTGACTTAGGCTGACCATCACTGGCCTAAATCAGATGATTGATCCCTTGGGGATCAAATCACAGTACCAATGGGTCGGCGGGGGTGCGTGCATGCCCCCTGGCCCATGAAAATTGCGGGAGCATGCATCACATATATATACGTGATTTTGCGCATCCATGCTGCCATGTAGCAGTATTTCTGCTATAGGGCGGTCGGGAAGCAGTTAAAGTGATACCAAAGTCATTGCATCTGCCTGTTGCTCAGCAGCCTTACCACTGCATTCCTCTTCCTACTGCACTCCTCCTCATTCTGAACTTCCTTTCACCCCTCACACTGCACCCCAACATCCCAGACAATGCAACTTTAGCACTATTGTCGTTTAAGCGCCTTGTATTTACTTATTGGTTTATTTGGGATTTAGTCACTGGGGAAGAGGGATATAATTGCCAGCCCACAGGGCATTATAGCATATGCACATTTGTGGGGGCCCTTTGTGTAGTATGGAGTTCAATTAATTTATAATTAATTAATTAATTAAAGTAGTTTTTGGGAGAGGCAGCACAGCAATTTTTATGTTTGCACTCACACATTTGTCCATCGGTACACATTTGTGATTTTGCTAGCAGCAGCCAGTCTAATTGATCAGTCCTCTGCACAGGTTATACTCACACACACCCTCCATTCACTATATCTGGTCTCCCACAGTACACACAACATGAAAAAACAATTATTTTAGTAAATATAAACTGCTAAATCAGCAGTAAGAACAGTCTTGTGATTTCAGCTGAGCGCTGGTCAAAGCTTTTAGGAGGAGTTTTCTCTAGAAGGATGGAAATCCTCTGACCTCTGACAGTGCTGATTGGCCCTGTGCTGATCACATGCACTCTCACAAAAAAAAAACAAACTCTCTAGCAATACACACCAAACTGAGCATGTGACTACGGATTCAGTCTGTATCAGGTGGTCATTTCAACAAGAGGAGGAGCAGAGAAGAAAGGATTAAACAACCTTTTTACACAGTGTAGATGAATAACCCCTTAGGTTCCACAGTGAGTATGACAAGCATGCTTTACTGCATATACAGACTGATTTTAGTGGTGTGGGTTTAGTAACACTTTAAATATTACATCTAGTGATTTATTGATGGATACAAAGCAGCATTAATTTGTGCCCTTTATATCTGTCTGGAGTTCAGCTTTAACAATATTTCATAATAGCAGCTTCTTCATTTAAAGCCTTTGGTTGGACATCCTCCACTGCTCACTTCCAAAGCCAGCTCTAAAGGAACACTGTACTTCATACAGCCATCACTGCACAGTAATTCCTGCAGTAGCACACCTACACACCATCTTCCCTTGGCCGAGACATTGGCTTCTCTTCCCAGTCCTATCATCACTACCTGTAGGGCCTGTCAGACAGTATGCATTATTGTACTGCATTGTAAGTTATCATCAAATTTCATTTGCATAATAAAAATATATAATGTTACTGGGAAAGCCCTGAGCTAAATATGTATAGATTACCCACATCAAATTCTGTGTTAGCAAGGGATACTGTTTGGAAAAGAAGGAAGTTGCATGAGAACATTTTTCAGATGGCCACAGCTGTGAAGAACATTCCAATGGTAATACTGTATATAATGAAATACAAATTAAGACCTAGAGCTGTCATGTAAAGTGATGTTAACCCCTCATTTTCTAGGCACTTCCAGCAGCTTGTTTAATTCTTTCTGAGCATACAGCTTCTTTATCTTTTAATCCATTCCTATGCTCCAGTTTAAGCTCGTGCCATGACCATTGCCCCAGGTTTCCTGTTTTAGGGCGGCTCCTTTCTCTTGCAGCATCCTATGGAGTTACTGTGGCATGCAGGGACTGGAGTTGTGTCTCCTTACACGGTGTTCATCAATAGAAACACACATCCCATAACTTAGGATCGCATTGCACTCCCCTGCTCCTCCCTCCTCATCCCCCCCATTCCTTCTCCAACTGCACTGTCTGCGGTTAACTTTTTTCCCATCAAGACCAGAAGTTCAGAGAAGCAGCACTCAAACAGCAGGAGTCAGCAGCACTGAAGCTGTAGACTGCAAGTGCTAGAATAGGAATCTGAACAAATAGTTTACTGGGTTATTTTTGCCTGATTGTGCTCAATGTGTTAAGAAAAACCTGAGAGGGTTTCATACTACTTTAACCATGTCCCCGCTGCCCTATAGTAGAACTACTGCTACAGGGCATCAGGGCTGCGCAAAGTCATGTAAATATACATTTGTGTTCAAAATAACAGCAGTCAGACATCACTAACCTGATCAATCACTGTTTTTGGTAGAAATTATATTTCTACATGGCATATAATTTACTAGCAGGTGTAGTAGAAAATGATAGGCTGCTCAGCTAAAATGATCGCAAATGCTTTAAAATGGCAACCAAAACCTGAAAGACGTGGAAGAAAGCGAAGCAAAAAACTACCATTCGAATGGATAGAAGAATAGCCAAAATGGCAAGGACTCAGCCAACAATCAGCTCCAGGAAGATCAAAGAAGGTGTAAAGTTACCTGTGAGTACTGTTACAATTAGAAGACGCCTATGTGAAGCCAAGCTATCTGCAAGAAGCCCCCGCAAAGTCCACTATTGAAAAAAAGATGTGCTGAAGAGGTTACAATTTGCCAAAGAGCATATTGACTGGCCTAAAGAGAAATGGTGCAACATTTTGTGGACTGATGAAAGTAAGATTGTTCTTTTTGGGTCTAGTGGCCCGGAGACAGTTTGTCAGACGACCCCAAACACTGAATTCAAGCCACAGTACACTGTGAAGTGAACATGGTTGCGCAAATGCATGGGTGGTTTGCATACACGGTGTTGATCTATTTATCGCATACCAGGGATCATGGATCAGTTTGAATACATCAGGATACTTGAAGAGGTCATGCTGCCTCATGCTGAAGAGGAAATGCCCTTGAAATGGATGTTCCAACAAGACAACGACCCCAAACACACCAGTAAACGTGCAACATCTTGGTTCCAGACCAACAAGATTGACGTTATGGAGTGGCCAGCCCAATCCCTGGATCTTAATCCAATAGAAAACTTGTGGGGTGACATCAAAAATGCAGTTTCTGAGGCAAAACCAAGAAATAGAGAAGAACTGTGGAATGTATTCCAGTCATCCTGGGCTGGAGTACCTGTTCACAGGTGCCAGAAGTTGGTTGACTCCATGCAACACAGATGTACAGCAGTTCTCAGAAACAGTGCTTATACAACTAAATATTCATTAAGTGATTCAAAGGAAAGCAAAATCTTCAAACTTTTTTCAGTTTATATAGTGAATGTTTGAGTTTGTAAAGAATACAAACACTGCTATTTTTTTTGAACAGTCTAATATTCACTTTTCTTCAGTTTTTTTTAGAGGAACAACACAAATTTGATATATTTTTCTTCATGTTTTGATTTGGAATAGAATGTGTAGTGTTCCCAATGCATTTGTGTGTATGGAAATAAAAGCTATTAGAAGGAGTTTGAGCTTTATTCACTTTTTTCAACACACTGCTATTATTTTGAACACAACTGTATATACGTGATTTGCATTTCCAGGTAGGGGCACGCACATGCCACCATTGGCAGCTAGGCATGTCAATCATGGGGTCCAAGCTGGAGATTCCCGCTGGCACCTGGCAATTGCCGAGTAGAACTGACAGGAGAGAGACCTGTGTGTAAACAACACAGGTCTCTCTCCTGCCAGCAAGCACATGCTGCTGTGTATTTCTCTGCACAGCAGAGAAATACACAGCTGCATGTTTCCCTAGTAAAACACACACAGCACATGATGTAAAACAGTACACAGCACACAGTTAACCCTTTGAGCGCCCCAAATGTTAACCCTTTCCTGCCCAGTGTCATTAGTACAGTGTCAGTGCTTTTTAATAGCATTTCTCACTGTATTAGTATCATTGGGATGTCAGTGACAGTCAGTTCTCACCCACTGTCAGAATGCCCACCACAGTCCCGCAGTCCTGCTATTAGTCGCCGATCGCCAGGATGAACCATATATATATTGGATCCACAGCACACCAGTACACCTTGTGGGAAGTTCTATAACAGGTTTAATAAGACAGGTAAAACTCTGCAAATAGACTGCAAATTAACTTGGAAAATAGCAGTTAAATGCACTGAATACACAAACCTTCTAGAATTGGCACAATAACATCAATAAACACAATCTTCATGTATATACCGGTATAGCTGTAGATTAGTATTAACCCCCTGCAACTATAGCAGCAATATGTCCCCAGCTAAACTGATCTCTCTTTAGGTTCAGTCCCAAATTCACTTGTATACTGTGGGATTGTAACACTGTGTGAGTCTATGTGTTGCACAGGCCTGTGTTAGTGAATCGGTAGGGACTGACATGTCACTGGTTAGCAGTTGCTCACCACATCCATGAAGAACAGTCTCCAGGGGTTAACTCCTTGAAGGGATGATGAATGGGGCTCTGTCTCTCTGCTAGTTTTTTTTTTTGTTGTCAATTGTTGGTGCTTCACATTCTCTGAGGTGCCTCACCTGGGATGGTAACACGCCTCCTCTGCGATTTCCAACACTCTGACCTCTCTCTGCGGTGGGAGATGTTGTTGCTGTCGGTAATTGCCATCGGGGGTGACTGGTACCAATGAGCACAGTTGCTGCTGACTTCAGCTGCTGTAGAAAACTGTTGTCCTTAGCTACTTCTGCTGTTCTGGAAACAGTGTCAGTGTACTTCAACAGTAGGGGCTGCAGACTAGCTCCCACATGTCCTCTGCAAAGGCCCACATGGCTCATCCACCCCCTTCCTCCTTGCAAAGCATCCTGGTCCTGTAGTCCTGTGCAGTATAAAGTTACATTGTCTGCCTCTGTAATGAAACTGCAACTCCCACCAACACTCCAGCGCTGCTGAGAGCTGAGCCAATCAAACCCTTTCTGACAACATGCAGTCTTAAAAGGGAAACAGTTCTTTAAAAGGGAAACAGCAATGGCCCCACTACAATATCTCTGACAATGTAACAGTTTCTTTGTCAGTGGGGCAGTTTGTCTGATAACATGGCAGTGATTACTTTTACCTGCTCATCATCAGACTATGTGAGCATATTGAGATGTCTACCCACAATGTGAAAAAGGCTGCTGAAATCTACATATACAGGAACCCTAAAAATATATAATTTGTAAATATCTTGGTATTTACAGTATCTGTGTACTTGACACGCAACAAGCCATATCACAGAGGGATGCTGTCAAACATAACTTTATCAACAAATCCGGCCCCTTGATGATGTCCCCTGTGACGAAATGCGTTGTGCAGAGCTTAACTCTGCTGCCATTGCTCCTGCTAGACGGAGCAGTGCAGTTTTCATGCTTGTCTCTGTGAATATTTTGTGAGTCTCTCTATTTTTATTCAATAAATGAGGCAGTTCATGCACTACTTCACTGTGCAACCTGTCTTGTTTTCCTCCTCATGGTAGGTGCTGTTTATAATTGCTGGATGAGTAACTGAGTAAGCTGAGTTAACTGAGTAATATCCAGGTGGTACTCTGATTTGATCCTGTGGCATTACTCTTATTAAAACACTAATGACCTCATAGAAGGGAAGTCAAATATATTTGGTAAGAAGTTGGTTTGTACATAGGTGGTGGAGCACTGAAGTGGTTAGACTTCTTTGGATGATATTGCTGCACAGATTTTGTGTGACATAGGATTATTTTTATTATATCACTGGCTGATGCTTAATGCTGGACTGTATATTCTATTGATTTATATCCACATTCATTATAATATATAATTATTTATATAATTGATGCATTTTTTTTTCATTTAGGTTTAATGGGATAGTGAAACACTAGTTTTCATCTATATGTATGTCCTGTATTCAGATACAGTAAGTGTGGCTTTTCGGACAATATATGTATATTTTTGCACTAACTACAGAGTTTTTCACATAATTTTATTTATCTACAATGACATGCAACACCAAGGTCTCAGAGCAAGGTGAAAAGCACTGTTCCTGCCTTAAAAGAGAACTAACATTTAAAGCTAAATTCACCAAGAAACACCATATGGCAAAATAAAAGGTTTTAACAAAGAAGACAAAATCTCTGCTTTGCGGCAAATTCAAGCTCAGTGAAATCGCCCACTCATTCCTATTCTTTAGTATATGGATTTATCATTCAAATGAAAAGTCATATGAAGATTTGATCTTCGTTTAATGAAACATAATATTCTCCTGTTTATTGTGCCCCATAGTCTCTGACAATGTAAAGGTAGTATCTGCTTAATTTTTTTTTTTAAAGGGTAAGTCTGCTTGAAAACATTAGTTAAAATAGCTAAATTTCTATATTTCAGGATTATTAAGTAAAGAAAAAGGTAAAATGTATTTGGTTGGCTGATATTAGTTTATGCACTTTGCACATCATTAATGCTTAGTGTTAAAAAGCATCACCTTCAAACAATATATATTTTATATTTGTATTCTTCAAACTAATTAGGTTGCCTGAGCAATACAATGTTTATTGACCCTTTAGAACCAATTAGATTATGTAGGGGGCCAACAGTAACCTGAAAGTCCTCTTTGGACTCATAAATTAAAAATGAATGTGGAGGTGCTACCTATAGCAGCTGGTTCCTAGAAATCATTTACTGCAGTATGAAAAATGAAAGCAAACATGTTTATCAGAGCTTGCTGTGTTCTCCCTGCATGTAATCTAATCAGAATATGCAGTTAACTTCTTGTTCCTAGGCAATAGGTGACCTGTGTGTCAATGGATGAACAAGCAGGTATCACAGGCAGCAAGTACATGAACGTGCCCTGCTGCTACTGGGGGACAATGATCTTGTTAAAGTAAAAGTACAATATTATTTCAATGAGTGAAATTTTTTTTCTCATTCTTAATTTACATTTTTCTTTTCAATTCAAAAGGGTATGCCAAAGTTTGGAACACTGTATCCAGTTGTCTGTACAAATCCACGTACAAAATTAAACAGGGTCGTGGCATACTTAAGATCCATGCATACTTTGGCTTAAAAAATGCTAAAATAACAAACAAAAATAGTGAGTGCTCAGAGAAAAAAAGCTGCTATCACTTAAGAGTAAACCAACCCAAAAACAACTGATATAATGATGATGCAGCGCTGAAAGAAATAAAATTAAAACCGAAATATATACCTGTGACAAAATATATTTAACTTAAGATAGTGATCAATGAGTCAAGACTACAAACTATGCACGAGTAATACACCCAATAAAGTGACTAAAGTGCTAAGTGCAAAATAAATAACCAAATCTGCATAATTCATAAGGTGGTTATAAAAATAATAAATAACAGCAAATAAAAAATATAAATCAGTCCATATATAATATAATGAACATGGGGACAGTCCAATCAAATTCACTTCAAACTTTGCTGTACTATTCCCAGAAGTGCAAATCTTTGGTGCAATCCACCTCCACAATGCACTCGCCAGAAACTAGAGTGAATGATGCACAATCATATAATATTGCCAAGGAAAAAACGAGACCTCTCGTGGTGTTTCTTTAATTGGGAATACAGTCCATCGACCAGGATAGGAATGCAGACCTAAGATGGTCGCTTATCCAAGCATGGACCTGGCAGCGTGACGTCAGCACGTAACGCTCTACCCACGCACGTCTTCAAAGGGATACGCCTACCACTATGCTCAAAATTTTTTCAGCCAGCACTGGCATTTTTTTGAGCCCGTGTGGATGGACCGTTAACTGCTCCCCCTCCACCCTATAGCAGAAATACTGCTACAGGGGTGCACAAAATCCCGTATATATACGTGATTTCTCAGTTCCGGGTAGGGGGCAAATGTGCGCCCTACCCGCGCCGCCAATCGCGTCCTCGGCTGTCAATCACCGGGTCCCGGCTGGTGGTTACTTGCTGGCACCCAGTGATTGCTGAGTATATCTGACGGGGGAGAGACCTGTATTGGAAACAATACAGGTATCTCCCCTGTCAGCTCTTGCACACTGCTTTGTATGGCTCTGCATAGCAGAGCCATACACACTATGCTTACAGTGGAAAGCACATATACAGCATACTGTGAAACAGCATACAGCACACAGTTAACCCTCTGATCGCCCCACATGTTAACCCCTTCCTACCCACTCCACCATTGGCAGCTAGGCATGTCAATCACTGGGTCCAAGCTGGACTGACAGGAGAGAGACCTGTGTGTAAACAACACAGTTCTCTCTCCTGCCAATAAGCACATGCATGCTGCTGTGTATTTCTCTGCACAGCAGAGAAATACACAGCAGCATGTTTCTCTAGTAAAACACACACAGCACATCATGTAAAACAGCGCACAGCACACAGCACACAGCACACCCTTTGATCTCCCCAGATGTAAACCCCTTCCTGCCCAGTATCATTAGTACAGTGTCAGTGCTTTTTATTAGCACTGATCACTGTATTGGTGTCACTTGGGATGTCAGTGACACCAAGTCAGTCCCCCCCCCCCAGTGTCAGAATGCCCATCGCAGTCCCGCTATAAGTCGCTGATCGCTGTCATTACTAGTAAAAAAATAAATACATAGAAAATTCCAGTATATGTACCGCCATTTTTAAACTCTATACCTTTCACGTAAAGCAATTAATTTACACGTATTGGGCTTTTTTTTTAGCAAAGACATGTAGCAGAATACATTTTGCCCTAAATTTATGATGAAATTTGATTTTTAAAATTTTTTTATTGGATGTTAAATAGAAAAAAGTAAAAATATTGTTTTTTTCTCAAAATTGTTGTTTTTTTTTGTTTATAGCGCAAAAAATAAAAACCACACAGGCAATCAAATACCACCAAAAGAAAGCTCTATATGTGGAAAAAAAGGACGTAAATTTCATTCGGGTGCAGCGCTGTATGCCCGCGCAATTGTCAGTTAAAGTAATGCGACTACGTAACGCAAAAAATGGCCTGGTCAGGAAGGGGGGTAAATCCTCTGGAGGGCAAGTGGTTAAAGTGATACTAAACTTAAAAATGTTTTTTACCTTTATGCATTGCTTGCTTCCTCCCCTTTGGATGGCGAGATGGCGGCCATCTTTTTTAGCCAGAGTATCGGCCTGGAACCTGCACTTGAATCTGACAGCCTTGCTCATTCACCAGCAATCCTTCCAGATCCACTGCAGTACTCAGGTGATGCTCTTGAGCTCTGCTGCTCTTCCTTCCCTTCTGGAGGCTCATAGGGAGTCGATGGAACAGCCTATCTCTTGGGAGGAGATTCGGAATGCCTTGAAAACTCTTGCCCCTCATAAATCCCCAGGCCCAGATGGTCTTTCTCATAACTATTATAAAGTCTTCCCTGATATCTTGATTCCACATATGGCCCATTATTTTAATTATTTACGGGATGGGGGACTTGTGCCTCCTGACAAAAACAAGGCATTCATCAGTGTTATCCCCAAACCTCATAAGGATGCTACTTTAGTCTCCAATTATTGACCTATCTCATTAATTAACTTTGATCTAAAGATTCTTACTAAAATCATGGCTTTACGCCTCCACAAATTTTTGGCTCTTTATATTCATGATGATCAATCAGGATTCAACAGCGGTCGACAAAAATCGGACCAAATTCGTTGGACTTTGGCTTTATTGTCAGCTGTACAATCCATTTGGGATAAATCCTCACAGAGGGAAGTCTTATTGTTATCACTAGATATTCATAAAGCATTTGACAGTTTATCATGGGACTATTTATTTCAGATGTTGGGTAGGGTAGGGTTTGGCCCTTGTTTCACGACATTGATACGCGCTCTATATTCTAACCCTTCAGCTCAAGTTTCCATTCGCGGATATAAATTAGCCTCCCTGTCTATAGAATGATGTACTAGACAAGGATGCCCCCTTTCTCCCTTACTATTTGCTTTGGCAATGGAACCACTCGCGATTGCTATCCGGTCTGATCCCACTATTTCGGGCATCCTCTGTGGTCAACGAGATCATAAATGTGCCTTATTTGCTGATGATGTCCTCATGTATATATCTAACCCTCGAACATCTTTACCTAGTCTCCTCTACTTGTTGCATCATTTCTCTGTGGCCTCTGGTCTCACTCTTAATTACTCTAAAACAACTGCTTTAAATATCTCCTTACCTGATTCGGAGGTCCAATATCTGCGGGACAACTTCGACTTTCAGTTGGCCTCTCGTTCTCTCCCTTATTTGGGGATTCACCTCACGAACTCTATCTCGTCATTATATAGGACCAATTATCCCCCGCTTTTCAAACGACTCAAAACTGACCTACAAGACTGGGAGGATCTTCCCCTGTCCTGGTTTGGTAGAATTAGCTCTATTAAGATGACCTTTTTACCGATATTGTTGTACTACTTTAGGACGTTACCGATCATGGTACCCAAATGGGAATTGTTACTATTACAAGCAGCAGTCTCTAGATTTATATGGAAAGGAAAACATCCTAGGGTTAACAAGTCAACTCTATTTTCCCTAAAAAAGCATGGCGGTTTGGGCCTTCCTAATCTTTTGATTTATTTTCAGGCAGCTCAAATGGCACAGCTATCTTGCACTACTGCTAGGGGTTATGTTCTGCAGTGGGTTGGCATCGAGGCCTTATCTTGTCATCCTTACACTATTTGTGCTCTCATGTGGCTCCCTAGTCGACTGCGTCCTCCTATCCTATGTCATACGTTGTCCTATTCGTTAATGGTGTGGGATAGATAGGGGGCACACAAACCTCTCTGCTCTCTAAATACCCCATTAGCTCCAGTTTTTTATAACCCAGAGTTTGTTCCTGGCTTATCACCATCTGCATTTCAATGGTGGATGAATACGGGTTTACTGCATATTGAAGATTTCCTGGATGGACTTCGTCCTCGTTCTCTCCAGTGCTTTTTGACAAATTATCAGATTCCCTCCAGTGAATTGTTCTGCTACCATCAACTTATATCTTTTATTACTAGTAAACTCAAATTACTCGTAGAACCTTGCACACTCACTCCTCTAGAGATCTCCTGTAGGGCTACTGGGATGATGAGAGGTCGTTAGTCCATTATCTATGCTTCCCTTATCGATCCACTTACTAAATTATCTTACATGACTCAATGGGAAAGGGATTTGAATAGCTCACTAGACCGGGACATTTTGCGGAATATGGCCCATACTCTATCAAAGATTTCGATTAATACTGCCCTTATCGAATCCAATTATAAAATACTACTTCGCTGGTATCTAGTTCCTACACGCCTTGCTAAAATGTTTCCATCAGTATCACCTAATTGCTTTTGAAATTGCGGACAAGAGGGCACTATGCTCCATATCTGGTGGAAATGTCTAGTATTGAATTGATTTTGGATCCGAACGTTTAACTTAATTTACTCGGTAACAGGAATTACCATTCGTAGATCACCGGAAGTAGCTTTATTTCATTTGCTGCCCGGTGACATTCCCAAGAAATCAACTAAATTTATTCTTTATCTCTTACTATCGGCACGTATTACCATAGCTAGATGTTGGAAACAATAATCAATTCCGCTAGACAGGGTTAAACAAAAACTTAATTGGATAATGATAAACTCATGAGCATCGTCAATAATAATACTTCTAAATTTGAGGTTACGTGGGAAACATGGATCAGATATATTTCTATTATTTAATAGAACTACGGCTGACCCTCTCTTTCTCCCTTTTCCTTTTCTCTCCCCCCTTTTTTCTTTCTTTTCTCTTTTCTTCTTCTTCTATTCTTACTCTTTTTTTTTTTTTTTTTTATTGTTGTTAAATATCTATATGAAACTGCCTATGCATACTGACTGATGTAACATTTGTTACCCTATGGGGATGGTGTTTCCTGTTTACATCATCGACTAATGTTTTCTTACGTGCCTATATATTTTATAAAAATATAAACATGTTTGTTCACCCCAACTCACCATGCAGGTGGGTAATGTTTCTATTTCTGTGTATACCATTTTTTCAATAAAAATATTGAAATATTGGTGGTTAGTAGAAGAAGTGCCCCTTACACTGGAAATCAGTATTTCCCTTTATATTGGTGGTTAGTAGAAGAAGTGCCTTCTTACACTGGAAATCAGCATTTCCCTTTAAATTGTTGGTTAGTAGAAGATGTTGTGACGGACGTGGCATCAGACCCCCAGCCCTTTTCACCAACTCGTGACTGAAGGACTAGCCAATCTAAAACCGCGCTGTCACGCGCACAACAATTCCACGCTCAGCTGCACCCTGCACAAAGATTTTCCAGCTAATGGACCACAATCTATGTACCGCAGCCCGAGAGCGATTGTTACTGGGTCAGGTTAATTACGCAATTAACCCTTCACACTGCCACCACCACCACTGCCTTTTTGTACGGAGAAGGAGGAAACTCGCCAATCTTAGCAGTAACACTATGATGTTGAATAATCATCTGTATACACACTGTCACTGCAGGCAGATGTATAAAGAGGTTTAAAACACACAGTAGCGCTCTTCAGAGATAGGGATTCTTAGTTTGCATTAAAGAGCTTTAGAAACAGTTCAACACTTTTCAGATAATAGGATTTATTACTAAAAAGGTCAAAAGGGTGCAATAAAAATATTTACAGACAAAGATGTAGCCAATATATATATATATATATATATATATATAAATACAGAGAGCAATACCACAACAGAGAGATGACAGACGTTTAGAGAGGTAGAATACTTGCCATCAGCCTTGGTTTAAGCAGCATTCAAGTGTCAGAGCAAAAGGGTGCCTTTTCTCCCAAAGTTGGTTCCTGATGTTAAAAAGGGAGGATTCTTCAACTTACTGCTCCAAGCATAACAGGCTTTTTCTAGGAACCCAGCAGGGTGTCTCCTTAAAGCAGAGAACCAATCACCTCATTTGGGGAGGGATGTTTTAGGTGGGGAACTCAGGCTACGACCAAATCCCTTGCAGTTTATATCATGGTCAATAACCTTCCCTAGGTACATGTAGCAGCCTAGCCACTAGTAGATTAATATGCAGAATGATATCCTGAACGTTTAGACATCAAATATGCCCATATCTCACTATTTCAGCTAGAACTATATGGCTTTCTGCTCTCCTGTAGACTTTAACTAGGGGTGTAAGATATCAGGCGACTCGCATTAAAGTGAGCTATCCGAACATATGCTTTGTTTCATTGTAATTATTTCCTATCTTAAGATAAGAAATTATATGGAAAAGTGGGTTTTAAATGTGATGTCTGTTTTACAGCTATCTCGGAATGTCTTTCATGTTCAGTGAAGGACTGGTTTATAGCTTTACGATCACCT